CTTTTCACCGCTTTCCTTTCCTGCTAGTCAATCCACTTGCCAATGATCTAATTAGTATCTAACCGCAGAACCATCGCATCTGAACTCCTCTGCCCCTGCAGACACTAACCAAGAACCACTTCCTCTTTCTCATCAAATTCTTGTCCCTTGACAACTTTTGTTCATTCTCTCTAAAGAGATGTGTGAGCCAGTTGAAAGTCTTACAGTGTACAGACCTTCCCCTCCTCCCCTCATTGAGGAGGAGGAATCAGGCCCTAAACTTAAGAGTTCTTAGAAGCTAACTTCCATTGGCGCCGAGCTGAAATACACCAAAATCAGCAAGGTAAGCCTGGGCTACTTGTAGAGGTTGAAGTCTTGCAGTTTTATGCAGCTTAGTACAAAAGGTGCTAAGTGGTAGTACTTAGTGGTAGCCCTGTCGTAAATACATTGTTCTGCCTCCCTGCTGTGGCCATGGAGGAAATAGAGATTGACCAACACTGTAAGCAACAAGCCACCCACAGATCTCATTCTGCTTCTCTTTTATTTCATGACCACTTTTGTAATTCCTTTCACTTCCCAAATTTGAAGATAGCTCTACTATTAGAAATGGGAATTTATTCCTCTCTTCTGAAGTGTTTTCATACGTTTGCATTTCAACAGTAGTAATGTTTCTTTGCAAAGTGATTCAATGACCACAATTACTAGGCATGCTCTACTTCAGAAGCAAGACTATTCCATATTCCAATTGAGCCCTTCACTTGTTCAACTGAAGGCATGTTTTCTGAACTTCCTTAATTAAGTTGTCCTCCTACACTCTTCTGAAGTGCGTAGCTTTGGACTTTTTCTCTCCTCTTACAGCCTGTTCATCCTAAACAGAACAGCTCCCTGACAACATTTTCTCTTGTCTGCGCCTTTTCTACATTGGTGTAAATTCCACCATATTAAATGTTTAGTCTTTCAAAAGGCAGTTTATGTGTCTTCTACAATAGTATTTCCAAATTTGGAAAAGTTCTTTTTATCAGATGAAATGCAAATTTTCTTTAACCCATGCCTAAATTTGCTAGCATTAAAAATGTTAACTGCACATCCTAACATTTGGTGTCCTTATAGTCTTAAAATTCAGCTTTAAACTTAAACACTATACTAAAATTGGCATTGTAGGATTCAGTGTCTTTGTGTCTCCCCTCTACTGAATTTCACTAAGTAAACTGAAGTGGAGTTAGAGGAAAGGCCCACACATAAACACAAGCTAGGAAAAGAGAGAAGGGCAGAATTACAGGCTTGCAGTGAAGTCTAGAAAATATTTGCTTGTGCCTGCTTGGCTCAGCACACACATAAATGAAGTAGAAGAAAAACAGTGAGGCAAAAACCATTTTTTAACAGTATTTGTCAGCCAGGGTAATTAAGATAACAGGTCATTATACAGGACTGCAGAAGATCACAAGGTCAGTACACTTTCTGGCCTGGTAATGAGTTTCAGCAGTCATTTCGGACAAATGTGAAGTGACGCACATGAGTGAGTGGGAAAGGAAGGGGAATGATATTTTTATTTTTTGTTAACATATACAATGATGGAGTTAAAGTAAATACATCTGTGAAAATGTCAGTTCGATGCAGCAGCAGCCCAAAAGCAAGTCAGTTGTTAAACAGTTTCAAGAAAGGAAAAGAATAACATAGAAAATACCATTATCCTGTACTATAAGCTACAGTGCACTCATGTTCGTTTCCCTCCCTTTGCTCATCCCAAAAAGAATGAGGTAGATAGGGTACACTGAAGGACAGCAAGCCTGATCAATCACGTAAGGCAGTTCTGATCAAAGAACAAATAAACAGACCAGGTTTTTCAGTGGGAGAAAGGGAGGAGAAGAGGGAAGCCTCTACAATAGGAATAAGGAATGGATATCATAGGAGCATCCTATGACGGTGCCTAAAATAGTAATCTATAAAAACGGGAGTGACTCAGGAAGTTCCTGAGGAGACAATTCCTAGGGACTGGGTAGGTTCAAATGAGGTGCCCAAAGGGGCATTTGAGATGTCCTTGGGGATCCCACCTGGCATTCAGCTACCACTCCAGAACAGCACAAGGCTCTTACACATCTTTGACGTGCATTTGCCATCCCCACGAGAATGTCTCGAGTATTCTAGGTCACCTGAAATAGCTCTAAAGGTCTGTACTTAGGCAACAGAAAAGAAGCCACTTGGGAGGTAGCTCGCACTACTAGCTCTTGCCACAGGAGACAAGCTGCCAATTCTGAGGTTAACCCATGTGTCACAAAGCTGGTATTACCCCAGCTAGCCCCAAATGAGCTGCACTGTGCTGTGTAGTCACACCAATACCGCCACTGTGAGCAGAGGCCACAATGCCACAGCTTCACTCTTTCTGGGATTGAGCTAGCTTATGTGTTTCTTTGCAGTACTACACCTCATAACGTAGACACAGCATAAAGCTAAATATTACTACTAAAACCAAAGCTTCTAGTGTTTGTCTCAATGGAAACCTCATTGGAAGGTGGCATAGTTGCAGACATGACTGGATGTATGTAGAATTCAGATATTAGAAAAGAGAGAACCCAATCATGGGTTGAGTTTTTAGAGCTGGTAGGTAAAAAATTCTCCCATGTTTTTAATACTAGTATATTTTGCATGGAAATCAAAGATGCAGAAACCACAGAACTTAAAAATGTCAATAATTTTTGTGAGAAAAGCTTTTCTTAAGATTACTTTTTGTTGTCAGTAAATCAAAATAGCACAATGTATCATATTTGCTGTAATTCTGAAGAAAACTATGGTTAAAAAGGTCTAGTGATAGCTATAGCAATCTTTCCCTTTTTCTCCTTTCTACAGTATTCTCACCAACCAAGAATTTTACATTCTGACGCTATTCAAAAAGTTGTAGCAAACACAGATGTTTCTGAAATGTGGGAGAATGATTTGCGCCCTATCCTGATAGAAAGATACTCAGGATCACCAGGGAATTACGTCGTACGACAGGTAAGACAACATTTCCTGAAAACCTCGAAGAACATCTATTATTTATATTCTGGTAGTGCCTTTAGTGCCCACTAAGGGGATGGACACATTCCTTTCATTCAGGGGGATGAACTCTATCATTATTCAAGTCTAGACTGCACAGAGCCTACATGACACAGCTTGCACTTTAGTTGACATTATTTCCCAGGGCTGCATAGGACAATGAAAAAAAATTTGAAGTTAAAAAGAATGATTTTTAAATTTATGTTTTAAATTAAAAAGCTCACAAGGTTTGGTACCCAGAGTACAATACAACAGTTGTCCTTTCCCTCATGTGTGCGGGCTTTTGGTCACTAGTTCAAATCCCCTGGGACCCTACACAGGGATGAAATAAATGACACTCCCCTGCCCTTTTTCTGGAGAGGTCTTGTGCTGCTTAACTCCCCTGTAGTGTTGCCTCAGATGGGTGTATCGACATGAAAAGGGATCAGAGGGGCCCAAACGGGCAGGCAGATGAAACGGTCAACAAGACGAAGTGCAACGCTGGTCCAAGTACCACGCTAGCTCCGCCGGCCCAAGCACAGCAGTGCGTTAATGCTGGGCTAACATATCCAGATTGCACCTGGCCCCAAGCCAGTAAAAACTGCAGCACATCGTATTTCAGCCACAAGGAGTTACCATGCAACTGGGTTGCTGCCCTGTCAGCACTTCTGCTCTGCACTCAACGGCGTGGGCATCTTCAGGACTGTGTGCTATGCTGGTTCTGGATTACAATAGCCAAGCGGCAGACTAAACCAGTGGTACAGCTGAGTTTTCTAGAAGACATTCACAACATCTCACTAGCCTTCACCTACCCTTTAGGCAGTGACTCAACAGCTCCAAGGTAGTCATAACTACAATAAGTTTATTTGCCACTCTGCAGTTGGTAGACTGGAAAAATGCAGCTTTTTTTTATGCTTTGTGTTTGTGTGTCTGCGCATGCATGTCTCTCTATAGATTTAGTTTTGTGGTTTCTTTAGTGATACCCTGGAAGGCAGCCAAATGAAAGGGGAAGAAGTATGAAAAACAAAAAAACCAGCTGAGCCTAGGCTAGAAAACCACAAATCATGTTCAAAATAGGATCATCCTGTTACAAGGTAACAGCATGTACTAAAGTAGACCTCCACCAAAGGAAAAAAAGAAGAGTCCTCCATTGTCAAAGCACAATGGAGTTTGAAATGGATGACATTTCTTTGTTAAGACACAGAAAAAGCATGAGACTCCTTTAAGGGAGAAGTCTAGTGCCAGTCATCACTAACACACACTGGGAACTCCATGCAGGTTTATATATTCCCCTTAATCCGTAACAGACGTCCTTTGCTCTGCCTACAGATAGTGGATAGACCATACAACATCATAAAAGCTTTCAGACGGTGACCACAAACAGAATGGAAGTTTGTTCTAGCACTAAAATTTATGGCGATATTCCCACTGACTTCACTAAGAGCAGGACAAGTCTTCAAAGCCTAGTTTCTTTTTTCCCCTTAGAGGTTTTTCCTAATGTTTATTTAGAGAGAGAGGAATCTGCCTTGAAGAAGCACTCTAGGGACCCATAAAAATGAGTTGCTCAGCAGAGATGGCCCTCTAATAGGAGTTAGCCAGAGCTCTGTACTAAGTAGAACGGGGGTTGTTAGAGGTATTCTCTTTAGGTAGAGATAATTGTCAAAGTAGCCACACCAAGTTCTCTGCAGCCAGTTCTGACATTTAATTTAAGGCCACAACTGAGTTTAGATTTGAAGAGGTAAACATTAAATCTGTCCTGGTTACACCTGAAAAAACACTGGCCTGGAAACTTCAGAGATTAAGATCTTAATGTGTCATATTAATGGGCAATCATTCCAAACACCCTCAGACTCCAAAGACAAGACAAAAGGGAGAAATGAAAAGCAAGTGAGCCAGTCAAAGGCTAAGGTAGCAAAGATATTGCTTATTGTATATAGAGACATTACCTTTTTTGCTATAAAGTTTACCTTTTAAAAATACCGTGAACTTACAGACATAAGTTTAAGTGCCATTATTAATTACCTAATGACAATTTGTCTGCAACATCTTTCTGAAGCAAGCCATATTAATCTGTTTGGGTTTGGTTTGTTTTTTTTTTTAATTGCAGCATATCAAGCACCGTCTTCAAAAATTACAGGCTGGTTGGGTAATTGAAGAAGATACATTTCAGAGATACACACCATATGGATATCAAACATTTTCAAATATTATCAGCACTCTGGACCCCTCTGCAAAACGCCATCTAGTACTCGCTTGCCACTATGACTCAAAATTCTTTGGACAACAATGGCAGGAGAGAGTGTTTGTAGGAGCAACTGACTCAGCTGTGCCATGTGCTATGATACTGGAGCTGGCACGTGCCCTGGATAACAAGCTTCAGTTAATCAAGGTAGTTTGCTTGTTTCATTTTAATTTGTTTTTGCAATAGCAATAGGCCTTAGGGCACTTCTCTCCCATAGCCTGCGTGCCTGATTCTCTGATTGCTGTGCCTATAGTAAAACTCTCATTGACTTCAAGAAGAACAGAACAGAGATCTGTATCTGCTACTTTAGAGTACCTTATCACATTAAAACTTCTTCTGCCACCCTTTGGTAGCTATCTAAAAATTATCTAACAAATACATACTATATAAAAATAACAATTTCTACAGGAAAAATAAATGTTTCATAGACCTGGCACGATATAATCCTACTTTCTATCTAAAAGGCACAGAACCCTACTCAGAAACTCCTATCATATCCAGTAACATCTAGGGTCCTTGAAAAAGTTTTGTTGCTTTCTGAATCTTGCATTTTTAAAATCTCTCAGTTGTATTCTGTTTTGGGAGACGGATGAACTAATTGCCGTGCAGGAGAGTTACACTCATGTCCCTCCATCCCGTAATGATTTCAAGCTTTTCTTCTTGTTTTCCTTTATCAATTTGAATAGTTTATTTATGAAATGAGTGATGGCTGAGTACAGGAAAACAGTCACGTAATAATATAATATTATCAGTCTGTGTTACCTGTGCTATGAAGATCCACTTCAAAGTGCTGCCATTGCTGGGCACAAAAAAAATCTGTTGATCCTACAAGCTCTAAAAGCTTGTAGGATTACAAGCTTGTAGTATTACAGATTCATGAGTGCCACCTACTGGTTCAGTATTTACTACTTACAGAAGAATAGTCATACACTAACAGAGCTTTCACAGGAAAAGGTGTCTCAAATGCTTTACAAAGTGTCGGGACTACACTCAGCTTGGGTATTAAGCTTACTTGTTGGCAGTTGTTTCCAGAAACTGATTTGGTGCCTTCTGACATTAGAATATTTAAGAATTAGAAGATTAAGGATATGCTGATGTTTTTAGTCACAAAACAAAGCACTCCTGTAATACATATGCTTTCATTTAGAATAAATTTGCCTGATGGTTATTTATGGAACAACCTGCACACCGACTTAAAAGACTGGAATTTTTCACAAGTAATACATCATTTTTTTATTAAATTGTTTTATCACATAAGATGACAGCATTTGACAAAAAGGCAATCCAATTACTTTGCACAGGCTATCATTTGTACAGTCTGTTAACAAAATATACTTTGGGATCCATCTGCTTAATACATTAGCTATGACCTTTTTGATCTGCTCATAGTAGCATAACAGACTTCGTCATGTTTTCAGCCAAATCTATTTCTACTTTGACTTGAAGCTGTGATTTTTATCTTGATGTTTCTCCAGTTACATAGATTAAGTTTAAAATTAAAGGGCAGACATTGCTCTACATTATTCAGACCTAGGAATGTGTTAAACAGTAATAATAAAAACAAATACTACTTCCTAAAATTCAACTGGCATTAATACAGTTTCCTCCAGAATGTAATGCAAAATGACTGCTATCAAAAGAGCTCTGTCCTGTGTAAAGGACAAAGGGCAGCAAAGCATTGCCATTAGAGAAATCCATATATCACTGAGAGCATAATCAATATCATCTTGCCTACGTGAGCGACATTTTATAGAAGTTTTCCACTACTGTTTATACTGGATCAGCTCCAGCTAGTTGGGAGTTGTAGCCCATACAGGACATGACTGTTGCCAGTGACCCCACCTTTTTAACCACATCATGCAATTTCACTTGAACAAACATTAATTCATAGAGGGTTTAAAATATTTATGGCAACTGCCAAGACTACAGTTCCCAAGACTGTTCATATAGCAGAACCAAACTGTGTTTAGCCACGTTGTAGATTATTAGGAAACGCTGCCAGTGCAAACAAGGCTTCAGTTAGTAAACAGAGAGAGGAAAAAGGCTCCTTCTACATTGGGAAGAAATTTCACATAGATGTCTCTTTGTGACCTTGAATACATTCATCATATATGTTCTCAGTTTTTACTGCTGTGATATTTTTGGTTGTTGAAAGGGAAGGGTGTATCTACTCCACCCTCTGTGCTTTGGTTTTAGAGTAAAGTCACCTGGGTAGTTGCAAGTCCCCCTGAAGGAAAAGAAATGGTCTTTCTTCTCAAGACCAACTGCTCTTTGTCCCTCAAAGAGCCATCAACTTGAAAACACATAATTCACCTCCACTGATGTACAACTGTAGCAGAGATATTACTCCTTTGTGGCGCTATCAAGTAATAGTATTAGCACTCACATCAGGTGTTGTTGCTAACGTCTCCTCATTATTTGAGATTATGTTTCTGCTGCCTGATTTTGCAGGCCTGTCTCAACATACTCAGTTCACATCCACTAAAGTCAGACATGAAACTTTTAACCAGAACCAAAATGATACCAGACTAGAGAACGTGTCATGTGCTAGATAAGTAATAATGACTGATCACTACCACCATTACACCATAACTTGTTTAACAGCCATAGGAAGGTTTGCATAGGGTACCTTGAAAATCTACCCCTACTGATGTTGCATATATGACTACAATATTTGTCCTTTATTTAATGTTCCGGCCAGAATCTGTTATGTTACTTTTAACTTCCTCCAACAGACCAGCTCAACATCAAGACCAGACCTTTCACTTCAGCTCATTTTTTTTGATGGTGAAGAAGCCTTTGTCCAGTGGTCCCCTTCTGATTCCCTCTATGGATCTCAACACTTAGCTCAAAAAATGGTATCTACTCCACACCCACCTGGTTCAACAACCACAAATCAGCTGCAGGGCATAGTAAGTGGCTTTCACCTCCCTAACGAGTAATACTAAATTGCATTTTTTTAGTATTTAATTAGGAAGTAATTGGCCAAATTCCCAAGAAACCATGAACCCCACCAAAGTTAAAGGAAGAAGCAGACTCGTGGAAATTTTATGAGATGTTATAAAACAGAGAGTTGGCAAGAGCTTTTCAGGTGATCTGCTTAGACCTTCTCCATGCAGAGGAGTCATAGAAAAATCACAATACACAAATTCGTGAGAATATAAACTAGGATACCCACCTTCTTCAAGAGGCATAATTCAAAGTGATTAGGAAAGACCGCAGACATAGTATCGGTCTAGGAATAAGTCTCCCCTAGCTCAGTGCTAAGCTACAGCAAGCTCTCTGTTTCCCTTTGATTCCTACTAACATTCTGGTTGTCTGCTCCCTTCTCCCTACTGCCGTCTAGTTTCCCTACTCACTGCTGAGACACTTTCCTTCTGTCACTCTATCTTGTGACTCAGAAAATGTCTTTCCCTTCAAAGACTTTGTTGTTCTCCAGGGAAGAAGCAATTTCCTTTTCTTTTTCCCCACCTACCGTAGTTTTTCTTTTAAAGGGATACAACACACAAACTGCAAACAAAGTGATGCAGTCCGCTTCAGCTTGAGGAACAGAGAAAAGGCCTACTTTTTTCCTCCTCGGAAAGACAGCAAAATACATCAGATTGGAATCAGGTTCTGCTAATGAGTTCTTCTCAGGCACCATGGTAGAAAAGCCAGATCTTTGGCCAGAGCTATCAAAGACTTAGTCATGACCTATACTGGAACCAAGAGGTTTCATTGCTGCTGCTGCTGCTGTTGATGGTGTTGTAGTAAAGAATTCTGTATTAAAGATTCTTTCTTCTGTAGGACCTGCTTGTACTACTGGATTTAATTGGTGCACCAAATCCAGTCTTTCCCAATTATTTTCCAAACACTATTCGATGGTTTCAGAGGCTTCAAGCAATTGGTAAGGAGAGGGGCATGGGCTTTTGATGAATTCAAAAATTTAGTGTGTAGTTTTTGAATGTATTAGTTCCTGTAAATCAGATTTTTTTCTGTTTTACAGTTATAATGTTTAATAATGTAAATGTTAAATTTGGTGCATCTTAAACCTATACAAAGATTTTAATATTTAATTAATAAAATAACTGAGGAAGATCCCCAGACACTTGGAAGCCATGAAACAGATTCTGTTACTGATTTCATTCTGCAGCTCTTGGGAACTGCTTCACTTCTGTATTTTAGTTCTCACTTCTGTAAAATGATGGTAATGGCACCAGTCTTGAGGTCTTCTAAATACCAAACAAATGCAAAAGACAGTCACCAACTCCTCCTTCTTCCTTCACACGGAGCTTCCATGTGAGAGAAAAAGTAATTCAAATGTGCTAACACGCCTCATATTGTCCAAAAGTTGTAATAATAATTTTCATTGTGAATTACAGAGCAAGAGCTACACAACATGAACCTGTTGAAGAATCACCGTGTTGAAAGGCAGTATTTCCAGACTACTTTACATCGAGGCTTGGTTGAAGATGACCACATTCCATTTTTATTAAGAGGTACCGGAAGCTCTTATATTTTAAAGTATAAGTTCAGTAACAAATGCATCATTTAGTGAATGAACAAGTGCATATGATCCTGTTTTTCAAGCTTATTTGCCCCAACTTCAGGCTTCCAAATCCAATTTTACACAGGCCAAGAGTCACAGCTTTGAAAAACGTACCTGAACAAAAGCAGCGATAAAACATACCCATCATCGTCTTGCACAAGCATAGCTCCAATGGCATGGAGATAATGGAAATTTCTGTAAGTGGTAGTGTCCTACAAAGATAAGTAACTCTGATCCAGTGGGATATCACTACATACCATGCTAGCCAGCTAGTTACTCTTTCTAGGAGCAGCAAAACGCTCAAGGGTCGTATCTTCAAAGACTACAAAAATCTCTAAAGATCTGTTGTCAAAGTTACAGTAATGCTTACTATTACCTGTTCAAATTTGAAGGCACTGACTCCTGCAAAAACTCACATACTCAAATTAGACATCCTCATTCCCTAAAGAGAATAGAGATTTCACAGCTGTCAGCTTGGGGGGTGGGAAAGGTGCATAGAGTAGCCAGCAGAAATAGCAAAGGACACGATATGCCTGAAATCCCTCTTGGCATTAGGCACATACCTGAAACTAGGATTCCCTACCTAAGCATTTCTCCTGGCAGACACCTACGCCATGGCATCTGACTCTACGTTCATTCTTTTCCTTTGGGATGCAATCAAAGAAAGGGAAAGCAGTTGTACTACTGCTGCCACCTTGTCAAGCTACAGGTCAGTGATTAAAGCACTTGTCCAAGTTTAAGACATGGATTTGATATCCTTCTCGATTCAAGCACTCAGCAGAGCATCTGCAAAACTAAGGTGGGCCAAAGAAGGGTAGTAGATACAGTAAACTCTTCTGTTTGAAGTTTTCCACTGTACAGCAAGGACTGTGGAGTCATATCGCTAGAGAAGGGTTAACCAAAAGGAATGTAACACTAGTTCAATGACAAACTACGAAAGGAGGGAGCTATCTTCATATCCAGCCCCTAATTTTACCATTGCTTATGCTCTGTTAACTATTGAGTAATGTAAAATGCGCACACAGCTCTGGAAGTGGGCACAAGAGCAGCTACACCTCTCCACTTCTAAGCGAGTGCTCTCTTCACTGAGCTATGGTTACTATCTCCTGCTCAGTGGCTCTTCAGCTCCATGAATCTTTCATTTTTCACACCAAGGCAGGGCCCAGGCCCAACAAAACCAACACAGCCATCATACGCATGTCCAAGGATATCAAAAATCCTACATGGGAGAAGCTGATAGGGAAAAACAATGACTACACCTCAAAACCTTTTCTAATAACATGATTAACTCCTAGTGAAGAAAACAGATTCCTTAGTGGTACGCTGCTGAAAAATGAGAGAGGAAAAGCAGTAAAACAGGAAAGAGGCTGGAGAGAAACAATGCCCCCCCCCCAAAAAAAGCAATCAGGAAGCAGAAGACTGATTTAACTCCTCTTTTACCTAAAAGTTGCAGTATGTGTAGGTGGCTTGATGTATATATATACAGCAATACAGATCCTTCCAAGTGGAAGTTCTTTTATCTGAGGATAACAGTGGTTCTATTTTACAGAGTAAAAATACAGACACCCTATTTTACCATTTACGGAGAGGACTAAAAATGCTTCAAGAAGTGCTCAGTCTTAACACTGTCACAAGAACATGGTAATCAGTTTTCAGTTTGGGGAGCTGCAGTGGTTTCTCTGCCCTTCTGTAGCTCCTAAACACAGTACCAACAACTACAATGTAAAGGATCTCAAAAAAAAAAAGCAAAAAAAAAAAGCAAGTATCACAGTGAAACTACTAGCTACAGATGTCTTAAAAAAAAAAAGAGGGAAGAGTACTCAAAGGAAAGGAAGGTGCCAATTTTAGGAAACACAAAATGAAATGGATGGGCTGCAGTCACAGGCTTCAAAAAAGAGAAGGTAAAAGGAAGCTACAGTGACACACACAAACAAAGCTTATTGAGTAGTTACCTGACTCTGTTGCTAAATGGTGACATATCAATTGGCTTAACAGAACTTCTCCAATATTTCTTCTCCAAATTTCACTTTCCTCCTTGTAGGGGTTCCAGTCCTACATCTGATTCCATCCCCTTTTCCTGCAGTATGGCATACCATGGAGGACACAGAAGAAAACCTTGACAAAACCACTATCGACAATCTCAGCAAAATCCTGCAAGTGTTTGTACTGGAATATCTAAACCTGTGATAGACAAGATGGCAACAAATCGTACTCCATTCTAAATATTGTTTGCCCACTTTCACATTTGCTATTTAATTGCATTGGAGAGCAATTAAATAAAGCGAAGCAAAATGTAACGATAGCTCTTGCTACATCAATTATTGATTCAGCTGTCCCTGGCCCAATGTTCCACATAGCCAAATAAGATAACATTAAATAAGAATTAGTTTCAGCCTGGAAGGAATTTGATCTTTCCATGTCTTACCTCTGAATAAAAAACCCAGAGTTTTTCCACATTGTTATCACTGTTTTATGTCACGTATTAAGATCCCAGGAGAAAATGCCTCCTGACTTCAGCGTTACCTACAGTTTTTACAAGGTGTAACCAACTTGCGCAGTGTTCAGCAATGGAAATTTAGACCACATTATCAAAAGAGGCAAAAATCACGCAAAAACAAACTTCTGCTTTGGGTTGAACTAAACCACCTCACCCTGAAATGAGCTGCTAGAACTCCTGACACACAGAAGGGATTTTTAATCCTCTCTGCTCCCTCTCCTCCTTCCTCTACAAGGTAGAGCTGCAAGGGCTCTTGTCCGCAGACAGCAGGCCACCAGGAAACAGAGAAATAACCCAAGTTAAATTTTCTCCCTGTCATTTGTTGGATACTTTTTGATGGAGAAAGGTGGTGGGGAGTGATGCTAAGAGGAAGGTACATGGGGGTTTCCATTGTGGGAGCAACACCCCAGCACACACCATTCATTCATGTGAGAATCATTCACAAATTGACTCAAAATAAAAAAAAAAAAAAAAACGAAACATGCTGTTTTTAATACAGATTACATCAGAAATAATCACACTATGAAAGCAATTACTTTAGAAACTATAGTTTTATATAAGTAATTTTAAAGGCAAAGTGCTAGCTATCAAAAGTAAAATGAGAGTCAGAAGCAAGACAACAGTTTAAGCACCAAAAAGTAAGAAAAAGCCATAGCCTATATCAGAAAAAGATACTGGAACTATTCCATAAATTTAGTGTAACACTAGCAAAAATCTAGCCTGGAATGAAATCAATAGGAGAAGCCAGAAAAAACAGTATTCAAAAGCTACCTACAGAATTATGGTTTCCACTGGTGAGAAAAAGAT